TGTGTTTTTTGTTTTTTTTTTTTTTTTTTTTTTTTTTTTTTGAGTAACAGTGGAATTTGTATCTTCAGAGAATGTTTTCAGGAGATGATCCTTTTCTGACCTTGTGCATGAAAATGCTGCCTTTTTCTTTGGGAATTCAGTATATTTTTTAAGTTCTTTTTTTTGGGAGGGTACGGGGATCAAACTCTGGACCTTGCACTTGCAAGGCAGGCAGCGGCACCACTGAGCTAAATCCCCGGCCTCCTAGCACTCTTTTACTCTATAAATTGTCTGGAAGCTGCTTGAAATTTTTGCAGGCAGGGGTTGTTGTAAACAGTTTTCTAATTCCTCCAGTAAATGTGCATGAATATTCCTCCCCCCTCAGACTGCAGCCCTGTCTCTGGCAGACTCTGGAGAGCCTCCTGATCTGTGTGCAGGTGCACACATGTGAACGCTGACATAGCTATACATGAACACACTTGCACACAGGACTTTTGGTGTGCTTGTCTTGAATATATGGATGGGATTTCTGCTTGTTTCGAATACTCACTTCTGGAGTCTCCAGGTGTGAGGACCCCACCTGTGTTTTGGAGAAAGAACAGCGTCTCCCATTGCCTTCTGGACCTTTGCAGTCACCGAGTCCATCTCTTCCCCACCCCAGCCCTAACAACGTTTTGGAGCACTAGAGGAGGCTGCTGTGGTGGGTTAGAACCTTGAGACTTGTGAGGTCAATGCCTGGAATTGTGCAGAGCCTGTGGCGGCAGTGAGGAGTAGAGTCATGGGCAGAGGCCTTCACCTGGGATCCTGCCTGAGGAGCCTGGCTCTTTCCTGAGAAGGCCTGTTAGCAGTAAGTTAATATCCAGGGCAGATCTCGCCTGTCTCTGTAGCTGCTTTCCACACAGGCCGAAGGGCTACCTCCTTTGTGTTTCCCCTCCCTTTCTAGTTCGAAAGCCAGCCCAAATTGGGTGGATGGAAGATGAAAAATGAAGTCTGTACGGTTAACAGCCAGGTCTTCCTGCCTCGGGGTGTGCTCTGAGGGCGCCACACCCCTCTGGGGCAGAAGCCCTGCAGGTCTGGGAAAGAGTTAAAAGCATGCTCTGACCAGGCAGGCATTGGTATGCATGCTGATCCTGACTTTGAACCTATTACTGTGTCCTTTGGCTTTGGAGGAGTCCGAATGATGGCAGGTCCTACAAGCATCCATCTGGTTGAGATTGTCCACTTTAAATATTGAAAAATCAGACCCCAGGCAATCTTTCAGTAGATGACGTCCACCTGTGTTCAGCCATTGTGTTCAAGTCGCCCATGTTGCTGGGCAGGTGGTACTGTTGGGGTGGATCACAGAAGGGGCTTCTCAGTTTCCCCTTCTTGAGTTCTAAAGCCGCGTTTGCTTGGGTTGTGCCTGGAGGAAGCACGGTGGTAGGTGCTGTGTGCTCACACCCAAGTTCCCGGTCTTACACGGGTACTGTGCTGTCTTCCAGATCGAAGCAAAGCCGAGATGGACTTGAGGGAGCTGAGCGAGTCGGTCCAGCAGCAGGCGGCCCCCGCTCCTCTCATCTCTCCCAAGCGGCAGATTCGCAGCAGGTTCCAGCTGAATCTGGACAAGACGATAGAGAGCTGCAAAGCGCAGTTAGGTAAGTCTCTTGGTTGGCGGGCAGCAGCGTTGGCATCTGTAGAGTCGTCACCTGGCTGAGGTAAGGGTTGCACCCTGACTGCTCTTCGCAGCTGCCTTCACCTTGAACCACTTTTCCAAATAAAACATCTTACCTCCCAGGGTGAAATTTTGCAGACTTGCTAGTTAGTCATTCAGGAGGGCTCTTTGAACTCACCAGAGTTGATTCTTTTGCAGAAGCACCCTGAAAACTCAGGGTGTAGTTTTGCGAGTGTTTGGGTGCTGAATTTACCTCTTTTTCCCCCCTCCATACAAGCCATTGTCTCAGCGTCACCCCAAGTTTGTACCAGACCCCAAGTTTGTCTAGCGTGGAGCCCTTTCGGCCACCCCC